GTCTTTGAGAGGGAACCGGAAATCGAGATTAGCATTGAAGGAAATTTTGCAATCGTAATTTTCTTGGGCAATATTTCTGAATAAGATGTTCTCGTGTATTGTCTTTGAGGGAGAAAGAATATATCCTATTAATCTAACGATCAAACGAATTATCAAAAATTAATATATATATATTTGCATAGATTGATCTTCTAAAATTATCTGAAGAGATTCTTGATAATTGAGGAATCCGATAAGATAAATACGTATTCGTATGAAAAATAAGTCATATTCAAAATTCCAGAAAAGATATTGAAATAATCAATCATATCTAAAAATAATAGGTGATCTTTCTAGAAAGGAAGAATAATCTTCAAATATATTTAATATCTAGGCAAGATATTCAATCTTAATAGATATATATTAAAGAGAAGAAATAAGATTAAATAATTCTATTTCTCTCAATTTATTTATTCAGAAATTGGAAAGATTCGAATTCAATAATTAGGTCCCAATAATCTAGGATCTAAATAGACATATCAGCGATCCAATTGATCAGGCGAGATCATAATAATTGAGAAGAATCAAGAATAAGATTCGTAATTTGAGTCCAATCTAGGCCCAAGATGACCAAAGACCAAAATAATCAAAATCAGAGAAAATATGGAGACTCGCAGAGAAGCAATAAATAGATATCATTATGGCAATATTTAATATAGCAGATTGCAGAAAGATTCTATGAGATCTAGGATAGATATTAATCCAAAATCAAAAAGAAGAAATGATATTAGGATTAGGATCTTGCCCAAGGAAAAATAGGGATAGATATCCGAATGAGATTTAAGGAGATCCGATTAAAGATAGATAGATTGGGATTATGATGAAAATCGTATTGATCAAATCGGGAGATTCAGATTATCGAATTAGATTTAATATTTTAGATAGGAAAGAATATATTAGATAGGAAAGAATATATAAATTATCATTCTTGATTCAGGATTTACGATTTATCATATCATATTAGGATTTTCTAATAGAAATGAATCAGAAATTTATAATTTCGGATCGAAGATATAGGATTTATAATTCAGGATTTCTATTATTTTATGAAATATGAGAGAATGATGCTAGAGATTATTCAAGGATTCCGTCCGTCTAATCTTCTTCAGATCTCAATGAATCTATTCGATTTTTTATTTAGATCTATATTAAATTTCTGAAATTCATAGATTGATATTTTTCTATTAGAAATTATAGATTAAGATAGAAATATATGATTATTCAATATCTGATCTATATCTTTTTCCTTAGATTTCTTATTCATATTGAGATATTCGAAATCATCTCCTATTCTATAGGATCATCGTCAAAGATTATCTATCCAAAATAGAATATCTCATCTTATTAGGTAATCGTCTTGATCTATCGAGACGTCATATTTAGATAGATATATCGTATTATAAGATATTAGATATCAAGATCTCGAGAAATATTATGATTTCTATAGCGATTATAATATCATTATAATTTCATTCAATCTAATTTTGATCGATATATCTCATAATATCTCTTTTATTGTATTTCAAATATCTTATTCAAATATATCGTTCATCGATATTATCTATCTCTATCTATATTAATATATCATTCTAATTATTTATATCTCTCTATATCTATCTATTGATTATTTCTATTTAATTTTCTAATAAATATATATTTCTCAAATAGAGCCTATATATCTTAATTTTTCTATCGATATCTATTAATATCTTTCTTTATATAAATCATCTTTCTAATTTTCTTTCGTGAAGATTCTATATATTTGAAAAAATATCTATCTAAAATATAAATAATATTCTTAATATTCTCTGATCATTCGAAATATTTTTTATTTATCTCTCTAATTAAGAATTTGAATATCATATAATATTCTATTCATATAATTTCTATATTTATCAATTAATTTATTTGATATATCGTCGATAAAATCAATGATAGTCCCTAAATCAGATAATTCGAATATATTAGTTTTGGATTTCGGGGAATTCTTGCGTCCCTGCGTTTTTGCATATTTATATCGCGCATATATTAGCCCCATATTCAAATTATCTTTTACGAGATATATATAGCGTCAAAGAATTGGAAAATTAGTTCTATTGAGCCTTGAGATCCGTAATAATCATCAATATATCAATAATCATCTAATATTCCCTAAGAGCTCGCAGGCAGAAAAATATAATATGTAACCCAAATGAATTTTTGAAAAAAATCTCCCGTCTATATTTCTTGACGTCATCCCATATATGTAGTCGGGAGATTTGATATATTTTATTTAGTTTTTTTACGATTTTTTATCATTTTGATTTTTTATTTTTCATTTATAATCGTGATTATTTTTCTATTTTTTTATCTCTTCCCCTGATTCAGGAATTGACCTCAATGACCGCATATCCTGGATTTCGATCTATGGAATCATAATTGGATATTAATTATAAGAATATCTTAGGAAATAATTATATTTTCAAAATAGAATATGGTAGTATATACCTAATTTCTCCAGATATCGTGAAATCGTCATTGATATGAGAGAAATCTTATTCAAATCTATTTTTATCTGGACGGATCCGCGCCGGTCAATAGAAAAAAAAGATAAAGGAAGATATAGATCTAGGAAAATATCCTATAGAATTCCTTATAGAATTTCTCCTTTATATATCTTAAAGATTTTATTGCAATTTATTATATAATATCATAGAAAATATCTCATAGAATAATTCCTATATATCTTATATATATTTTATTGAATATCCTAGAATCTATATAATTTATATATAGAAAATCAGGAATGGCTAAAACCCTGAGGATTCAGCTATTAAATTATAGATTCTTAAATAAGAGATTTCTATGAAGGAAATCAAAGAATTAGGAAATCAATCCCCAGAATACCTTCTAAAATATCGAGACTATAGACCTTAAAGAATATAATGCAGAATATCATTATTAATATCTAATAAATATTCTCCCTATATAGCTTATATATGCCTTATTCTATCCCCAGATAAATATCTCAAAATTCATAGAATATCTTATAGAATATCCTAGAGATATCTTATAGAATTTCCTATAGAATATATTATAGAATATCCTATGAAATGCCTCCTAGAATATCTTCCAAGATATTTTTAAAAAATATCATTTATATAGATCATAAATCTTAAATATATATTATATATAATATCCTCTGGAATTTTCTAAAGGAGATTCTATTCCATAAGTTATTGCCTAGAATATTATATATGATATTCAAGATATCTAGAGGGGTATCCTATAAGGTATTCTATAGGTTATTCCTCCAAATTTCTTAAAGGATATTCGAGGAATAAATTATATGGGATATAGAAGGTATCGTGTATATGGGGTATTCTATAAGGTATTTTATAAGGTCTCAAATGATATTCTATAAGGTATATAATTATAGGATATAGAAGGTGAATTATATATTTTATGAGATAGGGAATTCTATAGGATATCCTATAGGATATTCTATAAGGATGATATATATGAGCAATATCCTATAAGTCAATCTTTAGCGTATTCCAGATAAAATTATCTAAGACATATATAGAGAATATAGAGAGGATTGAATATATTATTTTATAATATAAATTAGAGGCTATTATATAAAATCTTCTTTAATATATATTATTAGATTTATCAAATATATATGAGAGATTCTAAAAAATAGATATCATAAGATATTTGGGAGACGATATTCATGAATAATTTTTTGAGATTAAGAATTCTTTAAAAGATGATATTCATAAATCAATTATTGAATTATATAAACATTAGGGCATATCTATATCTCTAAATTTAATTTTGATAGATATGAGAAAATGAAATTATCATATAAAAATTTAATTCACTCATAATCTCATTTCAGAATATAATCTGAATTAAATTCATAAAAATAATATAATTCTTATTCGAAAAGATATATATCATATAATCTTCCAATCATCTTATCAGAAAAGAAAAATAATATTAAAAAAGAATATATCATTCAAATATTCATATTTTCAAGAATTAAATTCATGATTCTCAAATATTTTGCACTATATTTCGAAAATTGATGACGAATATTAATTAAAAAGAAAATCAAAAAGATCAAAATAATTCATTCTATATAATCCTTCTATTATATATTCAAATTGAAATTCATTTATATTTAATTAATAATCTATTTAATTTTTTATAATTATTCGAATTTATATCATTTCTCTTAAACCTATAATATCACATGAAAATCTGTAGAATTTTTCTTAGAATATAAAAATATTCGTCCGAGAATTCTAGCATATCATATTTTCTATATTCAATTTATCAGAAGATGAAACAAATATCCAAATCTTTTTTTTATAAATCCTAAAATCATTGAAAATAATTTTTGATAAATTCTTGTGTAATCCAAAAGAATGCCTGCCTCTATCTATCAAATTTAAGAAATATAGAAATGAGAGAAATATGAATGAATCTCCCAATCCCCGAACGAAATCGTGTTCTACCAAGGCACGCCTCAGCAATAATTTCTATGAGATGGAAATTTCCGCAAACCGAAGCCGAAATAATCAATAGTCAAGAAGCAGCGATTTTATCAATATCTATAATTATCCCTCTTGACGAAAATGAATTTAACCTTTACGCAAGGTATGAAAGAATATATCGGATATCAATTTGAGGGAATCTCTTCCCATTGCAGAAAAATCATAGAAGCAAGTACCTACGAGCCTGATTTTCATCATTTGCATCAGTTTCGAACCACGTGCTTGATTGGAATGTCATGCCAGAGACAGGGTTTTCAACACCAGAGCTAATTGAAACGGAAATATTGCAGATGCAACTTCACAAAAGATAAGCCGAAGTGGAAGCCCTTCATCGGACGGCTGTGCAGCACCTCGGGATACCCTGATGAGGTACACCAAACGGTGCCTCCTGTACAAAAGACTGCATCTTCAAACCTATCACTCCACACATTGACCGACATATCTCTGCTCGCACTTGCCAGCCACCCACGGCAGCGAAGAGTTGCAGTACGGACCGGTCCATGGGGGTGAATCTATCAGAAGGTTGTAGCACCTCAGGAATGGGCTTAGACTGCCGACGATGACCACTCGGAATAATGGTATGCCTCTACCTAGCTACCTAGCTACTACACTACAACTTCTGGGTGGGGGGCTTAGCTTAAGGATTGGGCGTAGGCCAAGGCTTAGGCAGGTTTTGGGTTTAGGGCTCAAGATCTGTTACGCGGCTTCATGCCCTTAACGCCCAAACTGCTTTTCCCAGAAGAGGAGCTATGGGAGTAAGGAGACAAGTCGTGTGAAGCATTATTGTTATTGATGGTCTCCTGGATTGTCTCATAAGTATACATGCACACGGAGATGTCAGATTCAGAAAGCCCATCTCATACGGGAGTGCTCAAAACCCCTCACATGATGCAAAGGTATGCAAAGTGGGGACCACTGCAATGCCGACATAACCCCGTAGGGATTATACAGGGATATGGCCCATGATAATTAAACATGTTCCCAGGAATCTCAGCCCACATTACCCTAGGAAGAAAAACCGATCCTTTTAACAAAATATAAAGGAATCCCATACCCCAGAAAGTATAAAGGGTCCCTGACGTTGATCCAGGAATGCAATTTCTAGAGAAGTCACTCCATACTTTTAATATTATTATGATTCTGACAAGAACTATTACTCTTATGTTTATTTTTGATACTCTTATTAGCCGGCAATTTCTGGAGAAGGCGCTGGTACAGTGGCTGCGTTGTCCTGTCGGGGGTCAGCCAGGGAAGAAGGCGCTCTCCGACGTCTGGACTGCTGCAGTTATCAAAAGGGCCCGCCGGCGTGGTAAGCTCGATGCCTGGATGGGCTTACAGTCCCCCTTAAGTAGATAGAATATGGCTTTGGGTATATTGCAATAAGATCCCCATATACCCCAAATTCTATCTACTTAAGGGGGACTATAGAATTGAAAGGGTGAAGGGCTTAGGGTCTAGGAGTCTAGGAGTTTGAGGGCTTGGGGTTGAGAGTACAGGGTTTAGGGCTTTATAAACCTCAATTGGATGGAATCAATCTCAGACCATCAGCTCACCCGATACCCAAAGCTTCCAAGCCCTCGCAACCCTAAACTCTAAACTGACTCTGAACCCCAAATCACTTCAGAACTCAGATGCATGACAGGTTGAAGATAGTGTAGCAGTGTTGGTTGCTGTCCACAAGGTATGCCGAGAACCTCAGCTTGTGTCCATGTAAGTAGTTTAGGGAAGGCTTAGGGTTTAGGTTCTATTGTGTTGAAATTTTCGCTTAATGGGAGGGGACTCCAATATAGAGCCCCAGATACCCATGTTGTAAAGCCCAAAATAAGCTAGGGTTTAGGGTCCAGGCCGGATATGCGGCCCTGGGCTTCAGATTGAGTGCTTAGGGATCTACATGAGCAGCTAACTCTCGAAAGTCTGCAGCTCCACACTTGCTACAACACTTTCTGCGAGCCAAGGGGTCTTTATCTTGCTTCCTGGGATTTGGTATGTTAAGCAGATTACACGCCCTTTTCAAAAATGGCACATGCAACTTGTGAGGTACTCCAGCTCCAAATTCGAACAAAAAGGGGCCCCTTTGAAATTTCAGCTCCCCTAATTCCAACTAACCAATCAGAAAGTGAGCTATGGTATAAGCCCCTAGTATGCCCCTGCTCCCCTGAATTGTCCCCTATATAACCCCCCTTCAAGGAGTTTAGACTACAGCTCAGGTTGACCAGCGCTGCATGCAAGAGACACGCAATTGTTGAAGGTAAGGGTTCAGGGTTTAGGAGACGCCGTTGAAACCCTAGGCCCTAAGCACCCGAACCTTCAAGCCCTCAGCCCCAAACCCTCAAAGGCTGAACCCCATACCCTAACCCCTGAATCCCAAACCCTGAATACCTAAATCTTATACCCTAGAACCTGAACTCCGCGCTGCGTCTGGGAAGCTGAGGAAAGGCGGCATACGACTTAAGCTGCTCAGTCACCTCCTGTCGCAGGTTTAGGGTTCAGACATCAAGGTCCCCTTTGGGGTTGGGTTTGAGGTTGACGGTCGATGGTTCAGGTGCGAGAATCTGAAGCTACACCCCACGCTGAGTTTTGAGTTTTAATTCTTCGGGCAGTAGAATACCAAGACAACATGCTGAGAAGACTGAACCCCTTCCCACTCACAACAATGAACCCCACCCCCATCATGTTTTCCCAATTGTGGTAAACTAGACTACATCACGAACGTTTATCATTGGGGGAGTCCAGGCATTTACTATGAAGGAATGTATTCAGGGAAGGGGATGTCGAGAACATGTAAGGACCACTTTGGGGCAGAGTGAATGTATAAGGATGAGAGGGCATATACGTCACTTATGTAGTGCAATTTGCTTGGCTGAGCCGCGCGACTCTACACAGATCCGCATACTTAGCCTCGACAATCCCACATGCGCATTTCATAAAATCAGGTCTCCTGAGATACAAGAAAGCCTGACAATCCACTTCATGAGCCTCGAAGGTACCTAGAAGTCCCCAAAACCTCCCCATTTTGAACCCCTGGCCCACGCGAGTACCTGATAGAAAGTAGCATTCGTGAACTTTGGCACCTTGTTCCTCGGACTTGGCGTTTAGGGTTTAGCATTTAGGGTTTCGATGTTAGGTCTCCTTCCTCTGGTTGGCATTGGGATTCTTTAGGGCTACATAGGGGCATAATGGAGTATCAACATGGAAAAGCCAATGAAAATGAAGTGCAAGCTGTTGAAGTCCCCCTTAGGTAGATAGAATATGGGGTATATGGAGATCTTATTATAATATGCCCAAAGCCATATTCTATCCCTGGCCCTAAACCCTACGTAAACCCTGTATTCTATCTACTTAAGGGGGACTGTAGGAATTGTAGGGTTGATTGGGGAGCGGAAGGAGGTTGGTTCATGCCAAGGGGCCCAGCTCTCAGCCCCGAAATGAAGGGCCAGAGCCGTAAGACTCCAAAAGCACCCGGGTTTATGGTTTTAGCGTTTTTGGATTTGGGGTTTAGGGTTGTCTTCCGTTAATCCCTCCCTGAACCAAAAAGCCCTGAACCCTAAGTCCCCCACATGGGTGGCACTTCACACTTCCCCCCTCGCTTCAGACCTGCCACTCAGCCACAAAACCCTCCAGTGCTGGTTCCATAAAACATCTTGTAAGACACATGGTCCCCTGGGATCCCACCCCCCAACCCCTAATGATGAATCCCTCCAGATATGATACAATCATATACTGCGGGAGTCTTTGTTACTAGGGGTGGAGGATTTATTATGTACCCTACACCTTAAGCCTTAAATCATCTAGTAGCTTCCATGGTCTTTTCCATTCCCCTGTGTACCGCCATGCAGCCCCTCTAGGGATCTACCAGGCCTAGGCAATTGTCATGTTTTGAGTTTTTGGGTTTAGGGCGTAGGTTGGTTAGGGAGTGGGGTTTAGGGCTTAGGCATTAGCCAAAACTGCAGCACCAACAATTACACAGGACTTGGAAAGGGGCACTAAAGTAGGCCCCATCAACCCTGAACTCTAAGCTCCGAACCTTGTCTAAAACCTGAAACCCCTGCACTCTGACCCCTTAACCCTAAGCCCTAAATCCTAAACCGTAAACCCTAAACCCTGAATCCTAACCTCTAAACCCTAAA